GAACCTATTTTTAAGATAGTCATTTGGATCTTCAAAAATATTTTTCTGTGAGAATATTATATATTTTAGATTTCCAGTCCAGTTGCCCAAGTCCTATAAGCAAAATAATGTGCTTAAATAATGAAGCTGAAAAGAACTTTCAGAGAAGTCCTAAGACAGCAGTTCTCAACCTGTGGGTCGCGACCCCTTTGGGGTCAAACAACCCTTTCACAGGGGTCGCCGATTCATAACAGTAGCAAAATTACAGTTATGAAGTAGCAACAAAAATAATTTTATAGTTGGGATCACCACAACAGGAGGAACTGTATTAAAGGGTGGCGGCATTAGGAAGGTTGAGAACCACTGCTCTGAGAGATATTCGGCCATTCTGAGTGTCATCGTCAATTAATATGGCCCTTCTAGCCAGAATCCTTGATGTAATGTATTATAAATTCTAAACACTCTGCTGCTGGCTAAAATCCCATTTTGTGGGGAATGTTTGCTTTGCTAATGGACAGGATTGAGGTGGGATTAAGCTTCCACTTCAGTAGAAGGTGTGGACCAAGTCACCTTCTTTTGTTTCCTTGGGAGCAGGGTCTGCTGAAAGACAAAGACCACTCTCCATGTAAGAACGAGCCATGCAGAAGCAGGAAGCACAGCAAAATCCCAGGGCCGTCAGAAGAAGAGCCACCAGCGGAGCATCTTTGAGATCTCTACGTTTAGTGGTGGAGGTCAAGACCAAAGGCACCAGAACTGCAGGACTGAGACCATAGGGTAGAGCAAGGGAGCCAGGCTGAGACCAGAGGCCAAGGCAGGGAGACCATGAGACAGAACAAAGGAGTAGCACTGAGCTGTGAGGCCATGAGGCTGAACAGCAGGCTGGCTTCCTGGCCCACGGAGGCACAGATGAAGGGAGCACATGGCTGAGGGCTGAGGGCTAGAGCTAGGCTTGACTGCTGGCTGAAAAGAGGTGCTGCTGTGGACTAATGACTACGTCCTTCCTGTCTTCAGATCCTGACCTGTAGCAGACTGCTAATTTCCCTAATAACCCCAAACCACACTCACTGCTACTGAGTCAATTCTGACTCATAGTGCTCCTATAGGGCAGGGCAGAAATGCATCTGTGAGTTTCGAGACTATAACTCTTTATGAGAGTTGAAAACCCTGTCCTTCTCCCTCAGAGCAGCTGGTGGATTCAAACAGCTGATCTTGCAGTTGATAGCCCAAGCATATAGTCACTCTGTCACCAGGGTTCCTTACAATCGTGAGTTTTGTCTGAGTTCTGTGTGACCATTGCAACAAATTTTCACACCCAGCAGGGCAGTAAAGTCCCATGGGAGGAACAGTTGGTATCAGAATAGGTACAGAAAAAACGGAGGGAAGGCGGAGGCATGTCTGACCTTGGACCAGGGAAGCCAGAGGAGGTGAGAGATGAGCCTCCATGCTGCTTTCTCCCATTCCAAAGGGCTTTGGAAGATACAGGCAACTCTTTCCAATGTAGGATTTTACAGCAACAGTCAACAGAGACACACAAAATCCACAAAAGTATCAACAACCTGAGGTGGGTCTTATCAGTAGCTCACTAGCCCCAAGTACCTCCTAGTACTATGATTCATGACACATTCGTTAGTACAGCCAATCTCACAAGAATCTCGCCTTTCAGTTCTTTGACATGACTGCATCATAAACAAATACAAGGTTCCATCAGGTTCCCACAGGAGGCCAATCTACATTGTCTGACGAAGTGTTTGGGGGGCCCATACATTTATCCACTATGTAAAATTATAAGCCCTTAGCCAACAGGTTCTATCTAAATCCCCAGGGACAGATACACACTTTGTATCGTATAGTGCTAATAACAATAAGGAGGTTCACTATTACTACCAACTATACCTTTGAGGACAAAGACTTCCACTATAGCCTTCTTTTACGTTCTACTCATAAATTACAAACAAAATTCCCTTATTTTAGGGGCCACAATAGAAAATTAGTAGTAGCAAGGCTCAAGATATTACTAGAAAGTGCTAATGATGAAAGCAAATTAAAGACTCAAAAAGCAAAACATAAAGATTTACCTTCAACTTAAGCGATTCTCCGATTAACGTTCCCTTATAATCTGTGGTAAAGGTCCAATCATATGGTTTAATGACTTCTTTAGAGTGTTCACCCTCCGTCCTCAAGTAGCAAAGGGAGAAGAGCCAGAGTCAGTAACGCAGGACACAACGGTCTGCTTACTGCACCAAAGAACATTCTTTGTGTGTAGCAATAACATGAAACACCAACCAGCACACACACTTGTCATCAGCCACCTTTCTGGACAGCTACTGTGATTTAACTTGTCAGATGCTGCTGCAGTCTCGGCAATTAAGACTGTACACTACCTGGGGGGATGGTTTAAATGCTTACACTGCCTTGAATCCTTCAAGGTACCTAGTACATACAAAGCACAGAATGAATAGTAGCTGATTTGATTACCAAGCAATCAATAAACACATTTTTAAAATTCAGTGCTCCTCAAATCGTTCATGTAAATCGTAGACAAGCATTATTTTTTCAACATCGGAAACATTAAAGTAAACCACGTACTACTGATTCTTCAGTAAAGAATACTAAAGGCTTGAAAAAGTGCACTCTACATAGCTCAGCTCAATTGTAAGTCACGGTACAAGGATTCATGGAGTGGGTAACTAATCTCCATTTTATAGATAGAAAACTGAAATGACCATACAGTTTATTAACAGCCCTTCATTCTCACAAAACACACATGTTAGCACTCTGTCTTTCAGCCCTTGTCACTGTTAACTCCTCACTGCCCAACTGCTTACCTGCTTTCCTGCCACTCTTCAGCACAGGCGACCTTCAGCATTCCTTGGTAGTTGTTTACACATCTTAGTGCATCTGTAGCATTGAACTCAATTCCAAAGCTGGAGCCATGCTGGATTCTCAAAACGTTGTCTCCAAACAGCATTTCCGGGAGCGATGGCATGTGCAGCTCCTCCGCTAACCTGCATAACCCAAAGCCAGGATGGCTTAGTTTAGGCTTCTTTTTCATTACAGAAAAATCCTTCCTATTTTACTGACGGAGTTAAATAACATACAACAAACATGCTCTATTTGCAAAGTCGATAAAACATTTTCCATTCTCCATCCGTTGCTGTGGACATCTACATGGCATGGTACTAGGGACTGGGTTAAATCAGAGATAAAGACATAGTATCAGCTAGTAACAGAGGATATCGATGATATAAACCACCAAGTCTATGCCTACTTATGAAGGGTTTCTGAGATGTAATTTTTTTTTCAAATAGATGAGCTTATTTATTCGAGGCTCTTAAAAATCTACTTTATTTTTTACTGGACTCAGACTCAGAAGTAGAGGCTTTCAGAGAGGAGATCTTCGTCTCCTGGCAATCTGTTCCTGACACTTTTCTTTGGCCTCTTTCATTCTCTTGGCCCAAAGCTGGGCATCTTCAGTGGCCTCCTCCTCGGTTTTCTTGGTGTGCTGTTTCTCCAGGGCGATGCGCTTGTGCTGCAGGACATGCAGAGTGACCAGATGTTGAATCGTGGGCGCTTTGGTCCGGGTTTCTTGCCTTCTTTGTTCAGGGACTTTCTCAACACACTGGCAGACATCTTCTTCTTTAGAGACTGAAGAGTTTGCACATTCTGCTTGCTCTTTGGGGACCAGGTGACAAGGCACAATTGTATCAGTCAGTCCTAGGATATCTTTTTTTTTACAATATCCAAGTTAAGAACCCTCAGACTGGCATCCACAATGCAGCCCCGGATGGATTTGCGCTTCCTCGCCCCAGTTCTCCTTGGTCTGTAACAGGAGTGGCCCCTTACTCGGCAGCAGATCAAGACACCTTGCTCCATCATTCTCACCACTGATGCAAATAACATGACCTTTCCATTCAACCCTTCCACCCAGTGCCTCGGCGGCAACTTTTGTGGCCATTTGCTTCTCATACAAGTTGAGAAGTTTGTATTCTGGCAGCCAGTGGCCAGGAAGATGCTCAACTTCATGGTGAAGCAGCTGATCGTCTCCACAAAACCATGGAAAAGAGCTGGGATGTAAATCTTTAAGCAAGCAGACAGCCTCATCTTTCTCCTGAGAAGTAGCTGGTGGATTTGAACTGCTGACCTTAACGTGAGCAGCCCACTGCCTGAACCATGGTAAAAGTGGTAGGGGGCACCTTCGGTTGAATGGTCAGAGGTCAGTTCCCCTACAGAGAAATGTGAGTCTCAAAACTACGCGGTGTGCTAAAAAGCACTCAGAGAGTTTGTGTGGCTCATTTTCAAGATGGCAGCGGTATTAAGTGATAATAGCCCTGAGTAGAAAGGGGCCTGGTGTCTACTGCTGTATGTGTACTTGGCCCTCCGATAGCCAACCTCATTATAGAAGTTGGACTTGATACACTCTAAAACCAGGATCAGAGAGTTAGTCCACAAGTATTTTGACTGTCTGCACAATATTCTTTCCAACTGTTGATGTGACAATTAATTGTCCGTCCGTCCCCCCCCCCAAAAGGAGAGATTTTATAAAATTTTGATTTCTGGTTTATGTTAAACTATCAAAAACAAAAACTCAAAACTGGGAGACTTGCAGGAGACCTGCATGACTGCGAGGAGTGGAGTAGAAGTTGGCTGTTGAGAGCGGGTCAGGCCTGAGTTCACGTCCCCATGCCCCTGGGCCCTTTAGAACACTGTTAGGTTGCTTTAAGCAGCTGCCTGATACTGACTTCTGAAATACATTTATAGGTGCATATAGGTTATCAGGATTTGTATGCATGACCTCATCAACTGTCACAACCAGGATTCAACTGAGAAAGGAAAATTCAGCACCTCAACCAAAGACAGTAATCTATGGGCTACTATGAACCCTAGAATCTTCATCAGAGAAGATTCGGCCCAGTATGCTTAAGTCAATAAGGGATGAATAACTCACTGAATGACAGTCGAGTGACAGAGAAAGAAGGCATGAAACCAAGCCGGGAGACAGACAACGCTGTTCCTACAAGGCAAAGCCTGAGAAATTACAGGAACAAGAGAAGACTTCTTCAGTGTAGGGGCCACAAGAATCGCTTCTCATTCTCTAAGAGAATTCCTGTGTTTAATGATTTCCTCATGGAGTATTAAATAAATTCCCATTTTTTAGGGTAACCTGGCTATCTGTTCCTTGCAATAAAAAAATAAAACTAAAATAGAGGTTCCACAGAAGGGAGGTTTTCAATTTACCTTATTGGGCTGCTCACCGCAAGGTCAGTACTTCCAAACCACCAACAACTCATTGAGAGAAAGACAGGGCTTCCCACTCCCACAAAGAATTACAGTCGCAAAAACTCATAGGGGCCATTCTAACCTGTCCTATAGGATTGCTATGAGTCAGCATTGACTCAATGACAGTGAGTTGGGGGGTGGGGGTGTTTATGGACCCAATTTTTAATTTTATTGACTTTGGAAACTTGGAAATGATTTACCAACTTTGTGGTAGCCTTAAAATTAGAAATATAAAATGCTATTTTACTTTTTATTGATGATCTTGGAGCCCTGGTGGCATAGTGGGTTAAGTGTTGGGCTGCTAACTACATGGTCAGTAGTTCAAAACCACCAACTGCTCCTCTGGACAAAATTGAGGCTTTCTACTTCTATAAAGATTTACCTCTTCCATTTCGTCAGGTAAGGCAGGCAAATGGTTAGGTGTCCTGGTAACTCAGTGGTTAATTGCTCAGTTGGTAACCAAAATGTTGGTGGTCTCAACTCACCAGTTACTGCAAGGGGAAAAGATGAGGCATTCTGTTTCCATACAGGTTAACAGCCTTGGCAACCCGTGGGGCAGCTCTACTCTGTCCTATAGAGTCACATGAGTCAGAACAGACTTGACAGCAACACAGCTTTTACTAAGGAAGGTAAAACAATGCCAAAGAACATATTCTTATCAAGACACCAAAGGATCGATGCATAGCCCAAGCCCATGGTTATAATTCCATTTCTAATCAGACACACTGATTATGTCTCTGTGTGTTTGTATAGACAAGACACATGTAGGTCTTCATATATTTGTGTATATGGACAAATACGTACACATGAGAGAAAAATAACTTGTGTATTTGTATATATGGGCACATACACATATAAAGAGGGGAAAACCTAGCATGACTAAATTAAAAGTTTAGACTTTGGATGAAAAAAAATCCTGCTCGTCAGAGCCATGACTATGGAGAAAAAGATGACTTCTCATTCCATTATAAGGGCCTAGCACATGGCTTCATGCAACACAGTCCTGTACGTCCATAGCCTCCTACTTCTCATGAACTTTGTCCTCACTTAACAACAGCATTAATAATAGCTATGAAGACAGCAATTAAAGATCCTGTTACTTCTCAAAAAACAATTAACCTTTCCAATAAAATTCTCAACTTAAAGGTGATCATGAAAAGAGCAGGGCATATCAAAAGGTATAGCGTCTGGGGTCTTAAAGGCTTGAAGGTAAACAAGTGGTCATCTAGCTCAGACGCAACAAAGTCCACATGGAAAAAGCACACCAGCCTATGCAATCACAAGGTGTCGAAGGGATCAGGTATAAGGCATCATCAGAACAAAAAATCTTACCATAGTGAATGATGGGGGGAGTGCGGAGTGGAGACCCAAAGCCCATTAGTAGGCCACTGGAGACCCCCTTGCAGAGGGGTCTCAGGGAGGAGAGGAGCCAGACAGGGTGCAATGTAGCAACGATGAAAAATACAACTTTCCTCTAGTTCCTAAATGCTTCCTCCCCACCCCACCCCCCACCCCCACACACTATCATGATCCGAATTAAACCTTGCAAGTCTGGCTAGATCAGAGGATGTACACTGGTACAGATATGCATGTATGGATTTAAAAAAGGAAGAAAGAAAGAGAGAGAGAGAAAGCAAGCAAAGAGCAGGGCACCCAGCACTGGAAACCAGCACTTGCTCATGTGGATTCCCAGAAGGGCGGTGTCAATTTATGCTCCAACCTGGGCCAGCTACTGAGCAGTACATGCCAGGGATCGGATCAAATTTAGACTCTTTGACATAAAACGCCAGCTTGGGAAAATCTGCCCTAAATAACGAATTTCAAATGCATAAAAAAATCCTATAAACTTTAATAATATTCATAACCTTATTTATAATAATAAAAACACTGCATATCCACTGACGAGGAAAGGGATGGTTATGTAGAGTGCATCTGTACCAAGAAATACCCTAGAGCCATCCAGAGTACTTCAAGGGAGGGACAGGGACTGGAGGGCAATGGGGGCAAACCAGAGAGGGGAGAATGTTATCGGACGAATTGAGGTGATGTATATACAACTTTTAAATACGACTGGAAGTGTATGATATGTGAATTATATCTCAATAAACTACTGGGGAAAAAAATAAAATAAAAAAAGTAAGTGTGTGTGTGTGTGTGTAAAGGGAGGATGTAATAACGTGGGAGGAAATATTCACAACTGTAAAGAAAAACAACTAGACTTCACTGTCCTTAATTTAACATTGCTTCAATTGTTCTAAATTCAGAGTATCTTACACATAGGCCAAAAGAACCTATTTCTAATGCCCTCCCTTGTAACAAACAGGTGTTGCAGCTATTTGCCTTTAGGGCAGTTTGGACTCCTGGAAGCCCCACGTATGTAGGGGAGCCATGCTCTATCGTTTCAGGGGTCTGACCTTTCAAAAGTAGATTGCTTAAGTCTGTCTTCTGACGGGCCTCTGGGTGGGTTCAAACCATGAACCTCTCAACAGGCAGCTGAGTGCTCAACCATCTAATCCATGCAGTGACTCAGCAAATAGGTACAAGCAGTACAATGCTGGGAAAGAAGGGAAGCCCTCATGGGCTAAAATGCCTTGAACATTCATTGAAGGAAGTGTCCTCAAATCAATAGTACAGCTAATCAATTCATTTAGCATTCCAGGTTTTCATACCCCAAGGCAATTCACACTAGAAACTTTAGAAGGTAAGCCTTTCTTCTGTCATACAGAAGGAAAGTACACGCACTATCTGCCCGAGTCCACTCCACCTCCTAGCAACCCCTTGGAGGTTCTAAGACGACATTTTCACAGCCTCATCTTTCTCCTAAGAGGCAGCTGGTGAACACCAACTACAGGTCTTGTTATCACAGACTTTGTTATTAAACCAGGCTACCAGCTCAGTGTGTAGCCTACTATACCACCAACCAAAGAAACCAAACTCACTGCCATCTACTCAATGCTGACTCGTAGTGACACCCCCCCCCCAACCCCCCCGGAAGTTTCCAAAAAGGTACCTGTTTACGGGAGTAGAACTGCCGATCATGTGGGTCACAGCCCAAGTGGAACCACTACACCACCAAGGTTCTAAGTGTACTCAGCCAATCTATATTAGAAATACTGCACAGCCAAGCACCCCTTAACGTCCATGCAGACAACGTCAGACAGAAAAACCTCTTCCGAGTACAAATTCTAAGCACATACAATGGTTCATAATAACAAACAGGCACCACTGTGCAACGGACATCCAAACATTAATATTATCATGGCTGTTATTTTATGAAAGATATTTTAGTGTATCTTGAGTGTTTCTTTCAAGCTTTTTATGCAGAGAAAAGCAGGCTGGAAACAAACCCTATCCAAGATAAACAACTGACTAAACATTAGACGCTGGACATGAACTGCACCTACTGTTCCACTTGAGTACAAACTGGACTAAAAGACAGGCTCGGGACGGGAACTGGCTCCTGGCCCTGGGACTGCCTGTTATAATGTTCACACAATGTCCAAATTCACATGGGACATTCAAAAGTATACCAAGTGTCCAAAAAGAAACTAAAGATCTGGAATCTGAATTCCTTACACCTCTCCATGGACCCTGCACCTCTAGAAGACTAGTCTGCAAGTAAACGCGATAGGTATTCCAATTTCAAGTTGACTGCTTTATAAGTATCTCCATTATATATGGTATGTTATATAACAAAGACAGTTATGGCGGGAAAAACACTGGAAGAGTAACTCAACCTTTAGTCGGATGACTATAAATCCCTCCCTTTTTTCATTTCTGTCTTTTTAACGAGTCTGCAAGAATGTGACTGCGTTTTTGTTTTTTTGTATTAGGAATCCAAACATCCTGCCGCGACTCCCTTTCCTCCTCACAGTCTTTCACCTGCGTCCCAAAGGCCAGCACTCCCTAGAGTTCTCGCTCATGACCTCTTCTTTTTTCTGGATGATTTTCAAATGATCTTACTCAATCTCAGGGCTCTTGGTGCCTACTGTAAACTATAAACCCAATCCCACACCCATAGGCAAGTCATCTTTTTTGAGCCTCAAGATAAACATACCCAAACGCCCACTTTCTGACCACACACGCTTCACATTTCAATATTTTCAAAACTAAATCTACCTGCCCACATTGTCCTAAATGTGCTGTTTCTCATCTTGTTAATGGCATGACGTCCATGCGATAACCTAAACTAGAAATCTGAAGACCAGTATAGATTCCTTCCTTTTTCTGCCTATCAGCTGCCCATCAAGTTCAGGAACTAAGCTTTTACAACTTCTCCTCTGTTACTAGCTAACTGTCCTCCTTACCCAGCCCTCCAATCCATACTCGACATCCCCTACAGAGCAACCTTTTAGACTGTGCAGCTGATACCACTTCTCTGCATAAACGATGTATGTTGGTTATTACATAACATTCAAAACTCATTCCTGCCGTCCAGTCGCCATGGGACAGAGGAAGGAACTGCAAACCTGTGGGTTTCCAACTCTAACTCTTCACGGGAGCAAAAAGCCACACCTTTCTCTTACGGAGCAGCTGGTGGTTTCAAACTGTTGACCTTACAGCTAGCAGCCAAACAGGTAACCACTACACCACCCGGGGTCCTTCCAAAACCCTCTCGCCAGGCACAAACAGATCCTAAGTATCTCAACTTGCCTTAAGGCCTACTCTCACTTCTCAGCCATCCAAGCCATCCTCTATAAGGGCATCGATGGCATGGACTCTCGGATAGCCACAGCATGATTCCCCATATATTCCAACCCATGAGACTTCAACAAATCCTTATTATAGCATCAAATAACCCATTACCCCTCCAGGGCTTCTGGCAGCCACAGGTAAATCAGCCCAATTTGATGTGCATCCCTGACTTCCCTCCACCATGGATGGTCCTACTTCTATAACAGCATTTACTCCATTCCATTGCCCGCATCTTTTTACTAATCCGATTTTATCCTCTACCAGAAAATAATTCAACTATCCAAACCCTCCGGCTCCAATCACGCAGAAATAGTTCCTCAAACCCATCTCAGCTCTCTCTCTCTCCCTCTTCCTCACCATGCCGTTTGACTCCCACCCCAAGCCCCCGCCCGGCCCCTCCTTCCAAACTTTGTCAAGATTCAGTCCGGGAATCAGAACTGCAACAAAGCTCTCACCCCTTCTACCCTCCTACCTTTACACAGGCCTTCACACCACCTGCCTCCCCGGCTGGATCAATATTCAGCTCACGCATTCCAGTTTCCCAGACAATCCCCAATAACCCCGTAGCTACCTCTCTACCGTCCACAATTGTTCACACGGTAGAACTGCCTAGTTGTCTCTCTCACGAGACTCTGAACTCCTTGAGGCGGGAGGCTGGCTTTCACCTTTCATGTCTATGCGACTGCACGGTACCTAACCCGGGAAAGGGCACGGCCATCCAGAAGGAAATGGTCCCAAGGTGGCGCAGACTGGGGCGGGAAGGGGCACTCGGCGGGAAGCTCGCCCAGCATCACCGAGGCAGCGCCCGGCGACCCTCCGCCGAGGGTTCCCAGGTGGTGATACGATTAAGTAAGGATGCTGTCATTCCAAGGACCGGTCTTGGGGGACCGAGCCTCCGCCCCCGGGGAAGCGGGTGGAGCTGCGCGGAAACCCGCCTGGCCTCCCTCCCGCCGGGCTCCGCTGCCAGGCCCACGCGCCCCAGCCTCACTTCTCCACGTCCGCCGACTTCATAATGTGGGTCTTGGTGGCCGTCAGCTTCCAGGGCCCGAAGGAGAAGTCCTGGTGGCTGCTCTGGAAGCCGTGGATCATCATGATTGAAGCGGGTCCAGTGCTGCAGCCCAGAACCCGGCGGCGGCGGCGGCGGCAGCGGCGGCGGCGAGCACGGGTGGCTCCGCCTCCCTCCGGCCCGCCCAGCCCCCGCGGCTTCCGAGCCGTTACCATGCTGAGCCCCGCCCCCAGCCGCCGGCTCCGAGGCCCGGCCCTCCTTCCCGTCTTCCCCTCCACCCCTTCAAGTTCACTTCCGGGACGAGCCTGTGACCCGCTTGACCCACGTCTGGCGTCATGACGCACGGAGGGGGCGGGTCCGCACCCGCTGGTGCTCAATGGATGAGGTTATCTCCGAGACTTCACCGCTAGTGTGATTAATAACAGACCTCATCAAGCAATATGATAAGAGAATTGATGTAGAGAATTGCTTTTTTGCTAGAGAATTGATGTAGAGTGTTTGAGGGTATCAAAATGGCACACGTCTTTAAGTACAATTTAAAGAGAAGATTTATTAAGTGTTAAAAAGGACAAAGGTAAGCCAAAAGACACATCTTTGTCTCAAGACAAAAAACAAAAGATGGAGACTATTAGCACAAAGCCACATGGAATCTAAAGCTCTACAGTCAGGAAGCTATTTAAACAGGGCATGGAACAAAGGAAAACTCACAGATTCTTGATCAATACATCACAGTTAAAGGTGGGACTACAGAAAGGGGAACAGGGCCATGATTGGGACCTGTGTACTATGTTAGACATGTACTGAATTGGTCCAAGGCCTTCCAATCAAGGGAGTCTTGGCACAATTGGTAGGGCATGACGATCTCCCCAGCCTGTGATCATCAAGGACACATCCAGGCAAGCTCCTAAAGGAGACTGCCCCTCCCTGCCTGAGCTGGCTGGAGAAGGGTGCATGTAATCCACTTTCCAAATCACTCAGGGGCTACAAGATCATTCACATCCTGGTGAAAGATCAGAAAGAGAATTCAGTGGAATCAATGTGGAGACTGAAAATGGATTTTGGACTTTCACTGCCAACCACAGCATTCTGCAAATGGAGGGTCAGATCTTAAGCTCTACTACACAAAGAATTACCCAACATTTTTCTATGGAGGCCCTAAAAAGTAATTCTTCAGGTTGTGCAGGAGGTCCAGCACTGAGTGATTCAAAGGTAATCATCAGCCTATGGGATCCAAAGATGACAATAACAAAGCCTAAATATTATGAAGGGGGAAAGTATCAGAGTTAAATTGTGAACACCCAATTTGTAGAAGACTAAGGAGGACAGTGGGAGCCCCAAATCCATCTGCAAGTATCTCGTTCTGATTAGGCAGCTGGCAGATCCCTTCTGGCCACAGAATAGGGACCAGAGCAGTCTTACTATCAGACAGATATTGTAAACTTGATTATGGTGAATTGAACGATGATATACCGTAATATGATACTTGGTCAGTTGACCTCCCACTTGACTCAACTTGATTTGATGTAGGCTTAAATATGTCTTGCTTGTTTCACGACAGAAATTTCTTCTCTAGCTTTTTAAATATTGGTTCTCTTTTCTTTCTTATTTTTTATTTTTATTATCTCTATATTATTTTTTCTGTTTTGTTTGGTTTTTATTATTTCCGTTAGGTATCCCAGTTTATAAAGCACAGGAAGCACAGAACAATAACTGATGCAATGCTTTATCAGGAACAAGGTATGGGGTGGGTGGGGAGGGTGAGGAGAACCGGAGATCAAAAAATTAATGCATGAGTGGGAAAGGAGCACTGGAACTGATGGTGATGATGTGTAAACAACTCTTTTTAAAAGCAACTTAACTATGGAAGTGTATTTAAAAAAGTAAAGCTAAACAAATAAAAGTTGGGCAAATATTTTTTAAATGTGGTCATATATCCATTGTTGACTAAGATGCTTGTCAATGTTTTCATCCTTCAGACATACAAGACTGTCTGTGGCCTAGCTCCGCCCTAGGTATGGTGGAAAAGAACACCGAAGACTCAGGCGCTAAGTCCACTTTTAGCAATTCTATAGCTGTGCATCCTTGGACAAACCACTTAATTTTCTTGGACTTCTATTTATTTCCTCAAAAATGTACTTTTTTAATGTTAGGGCACTTCCAAAATCTACCTTTCCGATTTTATTTCCCTCAACTCTAATCCTACCTAAGTGCACTGGGCCCATTTCTAAGTTCTTACTATTACTATTCGAGCTACCTGCAAATCATCATCAAACTTGTATGTTTTATTCACAACCAACTGGCCTTTTGAATATTTAGATCTCCAGACTTTGTACATTGCACCAGCCCAGAATAACTTGCTTTGTATTGATAGACCACCTCCCAATGGCCTTCCCTAAACCTTATCGCTATTCAACTCCATCCAATAGGGTGACCATGAGTCAGAAGTGACTCTGTGACAGTGGATTGAATTTGTCCCCCAGCCAACATGTCAGTTTAAGTTGACTTCACTCGTTCCAGTTACCCCCGTCTACTCACTCATCCAAATGAATGCCATAACTGAGCACCTGCTTTTTGCTAGTGACTAGTTTTATCACAAGCAGTACTCTCACCCTTTCTCTTTTCTTTTGAAGCGTGATTCTTTTTTTATTATTAAAAGATCATCTCATTGGAGGCTCTTACAGCTCTTATAACAATCCATGCATCAATTGTATCAAGCATATTTGTACATATGTTGCCAACATTATTTGCTAAACATTTACTTTCTATTGAGCCCTTGGTATCAGCTCCTCTTTCTTCCCTCCCTGCCCCCCTCATGATCCCTTGATAGATTATAAATTATTATTATTATTTTCATGTCTTACTCTGACCATTGTCTCCCTCCCTCCATGGTTTCTGTTGTTCGTCCCCTTGGGGTGAGTGGGGAAGGGGTAAGTGTTGATCATTGTGATCAGTCCTCCTTTCTCCCCACCTTCCCCCTACCCTCCTGGTATCTACTCCCATTCCTGTTCCTGGATTCCATGTGTTCTGTGCTCTTATATGTACCTGTGCACATGCTCTGGTCTAGCCCACAGTGAAAGGCAGGACTGGGGTCATGATAGTGGGGGGTGAGGAGGCCTCAAGGAACCAGAGGAATAGTGTGTGTTTCATCTGTGCTATATTGCACCCCAGTTGACTCATCCCTTCCTTGTGACCCTTCTGTGAGGGGATGTCCCATTGTCTACAGATGGTTTTGGGTCTCTGCTCGACCCCCCTTGTTCCCAAAAATATGTTTTTTTTGTTTGTTTGTTTGAGGTCTTCTGATCCTGTGTACACCTCATGATCTCACAGGCTGGTGTGCTTCTTCCATGTGGGCTTTGTTGCTTCTCTGCTAGATGGCCACTTGTTTAACTTCAGGCCTTTAAGACCCCAGACGCTATATCTTTTAATAGCAGGGCACTATCTGCTTTCTTCACCAGATTTGCTTTTGCACACATTTTGTCTTCAGTGATTGTGCCAGGATTCTCACCCTTCCTTAAAAAAAGAGATTGATGGTGGAGTTCCAAGTTATTATTTAGTGAAATAAGCAGGTCTCCCTCCTTTTAAATGTATTATCTGACTGATCAATGTTATCTAAAATTTCAACTACTTTTAGATAAGATGACAGATCACTGATTAGCTCAATGAATCATTTACATCTTAATATAAATGATATCATTATGACTTAAATAATACTAAAATATTTGTAAAATTTATACATTTTATAAATTTATAAAAGATTGATATAAATTATTTAAAAATTCTTTAGGAATTTACAAATTTTATTGCCCTACTTGGACAGTGGAAAGAACACAGAGCTCTTTCTGTGCTGCCAATAAATGTCAAGAGGATGTGCTACTTTACCATAAGCTTCTGCCAGAAGGAGCTCAGTTCTAGCTCCTGGGGTCAGCCTCACTGCGTCATACCAGTGCTTCCCTACCTACCCTCTCAAGACATTTGTCCCTAATTTTCCTAGACAGAAAAAAAAAAAATTTTTTTAAGTGGGAAATCTAGCAATTAAGCCTAATTGGCCCCTGTCGTGCAGTATTGCTAGATATAACACTCTTCACTATCATCTTTGTAACTCCCACAAAGTGAGTAATTATGATTATGCAAATGTGAGGCGTTTGTAGCCCACCTGAGGGATTGGATAGCTTGCTAATAATGTAAAGGTACACTTGTGGGGTAAGACTATATAATGAGGTATACTGTCAATTTTGCCATCCCGCTTGCTTTAAAGGACACCATCTCAGAAATGAAGAGGGAGATTGAACTGCCTTCAAAAAAGAAGAGCCAGGACTGAAGCATGTTCTCTGGGCCCTGGGGTATCTGAGCTGTCCTCCTTGGTCCAGGAGGCATAGAACTGTGACGTCAGAGAAGGTGAGAAGTGGAAGAGACAATGCAGAAATGGAGGAGCAGCAGAAGCAGCAGAACCAGGAACACAGGAGAGAAAAGTGGGCTTGCTGGCCCATGGAGAGAGAAAGTTGAGTGCCTTTGGGTAGGAAGCTTGCTGGTGGAGTACATTCCCTCTAGACACTTAATCAAGGGGTTTCAAATTTGCTAGCCCACAGAGGTAGTCCTTCAGGCCAAAGCTTACTGATGGAGTGGAGTGGAGCGTCTTAGGGGCATTTATCAGCAGAGCTAAGAGAGCTTAGCTACACTTGCCCAAGCTGGCAGAGGTCAGTGAACTATGAGGTTAAGGATGAACGAGGTTGTGCAGGCAAGGCTGAGAAGAGGCTTCCCTAGTAAAGAGCTACATCCTGGGCATTTTTGATCCTGAATTTTAACCAGTTACAAGACCATAATCATGAGTATGGTCTGTGAGTTCTGTGTGGCCATTGCAACCAATTATTGAACCCGGCAGAGGAGGGAAGAGTTCCAGGGGAAGGATGGCCGCTGTCAGGACTAGTGAAAAGGTTGGAGGGTGGCCTCTCGCTCATGGGAATAAGTTTGGGGCTGATGCTAATGATAACTCACCCCTCTTCCCTTGTAAGGACAGAGGAGGTCACATGCTGCCTCTATGCCATTTTACACTCCCAATTTAACAACTTACTAGAGGATTTGAGATTAAAACTCTTTGCGGAAACAAGGACATGAATCAAATTCAATTTTACGCCTTAGAAAGATGTTGACACATAAACAGGATCTTTTCAGTGCCGGTTCAAGTACCATCATGTTACATCTGTTTTGTAAACCTGGTTCTTGGGATGAGGTAGAGATCACATAGGAATGTCTGCAGCTTGAGGGAGAGAGAAGGAGGGGTTCATTTTCCACCAAATTGTGAAAAGGAGATGGAGCTACCAAATCAAGTCATCTAGTTACTGTACAAGTTTGTCAAAATTCAGTCCGGAGAACTATCAACTGACTATTATAGAAATGTACTCATTCAATACATACTTTTGGCATTTTTTTTTTTTAGCTAGAAACAATTTTTGGTAGAAAGGACACATATAAAAGAGCACTGTATAAAATAGTCAAGATTCCTTTGTCTTGGAGTTTAGACTGTACCGGAGAAAACAGGTAAACAGGCAAACCTGATCATTTCAGACAGTGGTACATTCCATGCAGAAACATGAGCAAGTTCAGTGGAGAGAGAAAGTACAAGAGAGAGTAAGTGTGTGTACTGGAGGAACATACTGATATACCGTATATACTCGAGTATAAACCGACCCAAAAATCAGCCGAGGCACCTATTTTACCACAAAAACTGCACTAAAAATGTGCTGAAAAACTCAGCTTATACACAAGTATAAGGTCGATGAAGTCTTCAGAGAGGTCCTTTCTATGGAGGTAAAGCACAGGCCTGGTGATGGGAAAGGCTGAAGGAAGAACTTTCCAGACAGTGGAAACATGAAGTATTCACTCCTGGAGGAGGCAAGGAGCTTGTCACATTTTAGAAAGAGCTAGAAGGCCAGGGGACTGGAGTGGAGAGAACTGTGAAGAATTCAGAGAGGCAGGCTGTGGTTCAATCATGTCGACATTGTAAGCTACACTATGCGCTTTTTGTAACAACTTTATCCAAAGAATGCATACGCTTTTAAAATGCATCTTTGTTAACCAGAATGTTATTACACTCAATGGATTCTGCATCTAGGGATTCAACCAGCTGTGGATGGGAAATATTCAGAGGGGGGTGGGAAGAAGCAATTAAGTGGTCAAAGCAATCCCACAAAGGCTAAGAAGGAGCATAAAGTGCTATTTACATAACATTTACACCATATTTGAAATTATAAGTAATCTAGGATTGATTTAAAGTTTATAGGAAGATGTGGGTAGGTTATATGCAAACAGTACTTCATTTTATATGCAGTGACGTAAATTGCTTGGTATGGCTCTTCTGTCTATATTCTTTGTAATTTCCACCAAATGACTAGGTGGGAGCATGGAAATAGGGTGCATCGGACTAATATGAAGGGATTGGTCTGTTTTGCCATTCCACAGGGCATAAAAAGAGCCATCCCAAAAGCAGGAACATAGAATCCCACCAGCAGCAAGGAAGAACCAGGCGTGAAGCATGCCCAAGATCCCAGCGTGGAGCACCACTGAGACCATGAGGCAGAGCGGAGAAGCAGCATCAAGACTGTGAGGCAGAACAGCCTGTGGAATGAGTGGAGCTCAGTATAGTGGGCTGGAATGGCCAAGAAGAAGTGCTGTGGATAAAAGGATCCCATCCTTAATGTTTTTTTCATTTTAATCTTTAACCTGTTCACTTCCTTAGTAAACACCATAATTGTGAGCATGCTTTGTGAGCTCTGAGTGACCCGTGAATGGATTATCAAACTCAGCCAAGAGGTTGATGCCTTGGGAGGGACAGTGAGTGTCCGAATGAGGTAAAGAAGGACAGAAGGTAGAGGCATGTCTGACCTCGACCTCATAGGACTCATCATTGGGCAAATATGGAATTGGATTCTGGTGTAGCCAGATGTGGCTATTTCCTCAGTTACATTAAGGACTTGCACACCTATGGAGTTTGATAGGAGTGGGATGGGTGCGGGTGGTCATGGAACCAATTCCCCTGGGATATCTAAGGACAATAATATTTCTAAGTACCTGGTACTGAGGTTAAAATATTTTCCCTTAGATTAAACAAAGATCTGTTTCTTTATTGCTTACATTATTTAAGCCTGGGACATCCCAGAACAAGGCTATATCCTGTCAGCATTTCTGTTCTTATTTTATAACTTCTTTGATGCCTCATGTGCTAGTTAGGTTTTATGTCAACTTGGATTCTCCCACGATATGATCTAACGTGATGTGGTCAACTCCATGACGGGATCTTCTGAGAAGCAGACAGTTGTCGGGAGAATAAAAACCAAACCAAGCTTACTGTCATTAAGCCAATTCCAACTCATAGTGACCCGATGGGGTGGAGTTGAAGTGACACTGTTTCCAAGACTGTAACTCTACGGGAATAGAAAGGCCCCTCTCTCTCTCTGGGAGCAGTTGGTGGTTTTGAACTGCTGACCTTGCAGTTAGCAGCCCAATGGGTAACCACTATGCCACCAGAAGTCCCTGGTGACAGCTTGATACGATTAAAGGAGATTTCATTCAGGATGTGGCCTCTTGGTATAAACTCACAGTGTGTGGACGCGAGCTAACTCCTACAGCTGTATTTGGATCTGCATCTGGTTCATAGACCTGATAGATCGCCTGCTGATCCCAGGGCCATCATCGAGCTGGTGACCTTGGATCCATTCAGCCAATCTCTGATTCATTCAGCTTGGCACCCACTGGCCTGTGGTCTTCCTGCTTCATTTTCCTTCTTCCTGTTTGTCAGCCTCTACAGCTCCAGGAGTCAGGAGAAGCCTTCATCTTATATCTGACCCATGGACTTGAACTAAACTGGACTTACCCATTTCTATAACTATGTATAACTGGTTTTTTCTCCCTATAAAAGAACCCAGTCTTTTCATTCATCCATTCAACTACCTATCTAACCATTACTTGTTTACTCAATGAATATTGGCATTTCTAAGGAATAAGGCACAACACCTGGAGAAAGGCATTATAATGATTAATATGAAAAATAATCCATGATGTTCTCCAGTCTCAAGCAATTTTGTTCAAGTCATCAGTGCCAGAAGCCAAGGAGACAGAAGCTCCATGACATTGTCTCAAATCTCAAGTAGCTTGCCCTTAATATAAGAGTTGAAGAAAAGAAATACATGTAATACCATATGACATTTGGGCAGTAAAGATGTGCATACATAGACCTGGTACAGAAAACTCCCAAAACTCACTGCCATCGAGTCGATGCTGACTCACAGTGACCTTAGAGGACAGAGTTGAACTGCCCCGTGGGTTTCCGAACCTGTAAAGCTTCCCAGGAGCAGAGAGCCTACTTTCCCTCACACAGAGTGGCTGTCGGTTTAACAGTCCCATGCGTAACCCACGTTGACACCAGGACTCCTTGACGTGCTACAGAAGAAGGAGTACCTACGTATCAGGGGAGATTAGAAACTATTCCTGAAGGAGCTGATCCCGAAGTGAAGCTCCAAACAAAGATTTCAGAGGTCTGCTTCAAGGAAAAGGAACAGCAGTACCTAGGCAAGGAAGCCTGGAACAGCATAGTCGAGTACGGAGCAGGAACTAGTAACTAGAACATTCTGGGAGAGTGGGAGGAGATGAGTCGATCTGTATCTCTTTTCTCCAACCATCTTACCAATTCTGACTCGAGCCATCCCTCCAACCGCACTCTCTCCTCTGCAAAGTGTGATCATTCATGCCAATGGCCACATAGAGCAGGCACACGACACTCACGTTTATGGAATTAATTAGGGAAGAAAGAGGGACCAATTTAGGATGCAATGGGTAGTAATCCAGGAATGACTCAGGATAAAGTTCTTCTGTCTGGACAGTTTTTTATTGGCTGTGCCCACAGCAGACTTATTGTGCCCCCTAGGGCTCTGCCCTGGAAGTGTTACAAATCTCTCTAGCTCTGCTAGTAAGTGCCTTAGATACACTCCCCGCTGCCAACAAGCCTCTTGCCAAAGGCACTTAGCTCTCTCACCCCCTGGGCCAGGAAGCCCGCCATCACATACCCTACTGGTCTTCTGGTTTGGCTGTAAGCATTTTTCTGCCACTGCTTCTTGCCATTTCTAGCTAACCTCCACCCCCCATCCCTGGGTTACAGTTCTCTGTGCTGTGGTGGAGTGAAATTTCTTAATATGACTCTACTACGCCAGTTTCTCATGTGTAACACGAGAAGGGATTCACCAATTTTTGTCAGCTAAAAGGATGAGCCATCTTTGGAGCAGCAATAGAGGTAAGAACTCCCAAGGACCATGGAAGAGCGTGTTCAAGATCTCTGTATGAAGTGGCAGAGGCTGCCAAGACCAGAGGCATCATACGCTGTGCCATGGAGACTCATGTGGTCATCCATACATTTCCCCCTGCTTTGGAACTGGCTCTCTTTTAAGCCTTGTAGATGGCACA